AATATTGATTTTTTTTTCGCTCATGAATATGCAGTGGTCAAAAGATAGAAAAAGATAACTGTTAAGTCAATAAAGGCAATATTGCTTTGCTTACGGGATATAATTTCAAGCATTTGCCATGTATCGAATTTCACAGTGAAATTTCTTTAAAAATAAACTTTTTGAATGCTGTTGATAGTGGAAAAAGTATAATGTGCAAAAAAATAATAAAATTGAATAATGAGTTTAATTGATATACTGAGTTTTATTTATAGCATATAACCGGGTTTTTACATAAATCAAGATTTTTTATTGCTTGTAACTGGTTATTCGATTTCAAGCCCTATGCACCATCTATCAATTTTGACTAGGGAGGGTGTATTACACCGGTATAACCGTACGTTCAGTTCTACGCATTTACTTTTTAAATAACACCAAACAATGTTTGGATTCGAGTTATTTTTAACTAAATATTCATTGCGTTGATAATTGAACACTTTCTTTTTGTAAATATGTATGTTTTAGGCAAAGAATGTTTTGTGATATTTATAAAATGTAAGAAATAATCTTTTTATAAAGTATTTTATCAGAAAAAGTATTTAAAAGATACTAAGATACTAAACAAAAGTATTTAAATACAAGATACAAAATACTTCCTAAAAAAAGTATTTTAGATACAAGATGAAAATACGTATTTTGTATCTTGTATCTGTATTTCAAATACTTGTATCTAAGATAAGTCACATCTCTGGATATGGTATAGTAGGGATGACGACAAATTTTTGTTTCTTTGTCCGCCAGGTTGAGTGTTTTCTTTTTCTTTTTTCGTAATCATAAAATTACGACAATACATGGAGTTGAAATTTCGCATGACGTCACGTTGTGGTATGTTTTCTGCCAAACTGTGACGTGGCGACCCCCCACTCCTCAACTTTACTGCCTGTTATCTAGGCTATTTCTTGTTAAATTGAAGTAGGGGGAAGTACGTGCCTAGTATTTTTCTGTTATTTGACTGACGGACTAAATAGAATTGCATTTTTGTTTTTTTTTTACCCAGTCGTCATCCCTATTAATTTAAGTCTACTGTATTTGTCTCTTAGGGCCGTTCATTTGCTGTTATTGCAGTGGATAAAGTTGTCCTTGGTCATGGCAACAGCATTAGTGAATTAGATTTGAATCCAAGACAAAATGTCGTAGAACTATGCTGTTGTCATATCAAATAAGCTTGCTAAGTAATTTGCATGCCCATATTCTTTTTTTTTTAATTCTTATTTTCTTATGAAGTTTGCCGTGGCAACCTATAATTGAGAGTTCACTTCAATATATGAACATGCAAGCAACTATTGTAACAATTTAAGTGAATGTCTTGTTGGTTGTCCAATAAATAAATAAAATAAAATAAATAAATAAAATATGTAATGTTAACAAATATTTAAAAAGAAGCCATAATATTTATTTCTTTTATTTTTAGACAGTACATTCCAGAGTCTATGAGTAAAAAAAAAATAATAAAAATTTTACAAAGTACATAAACATTGGGATTTGATTGTTTTTTGTAAAATTGATATTCCAAATTGTTATAGACTTTTAACCTTTTTTATTTTTATTTCCAATCTGAAAAAGGAGAAATAAAAATCAGTGTTATTAAACAGGCACCTGCTACGTATAATGCAAATTTGATATTACTTACTGATACATGGAGGCGTGACGCTCTGACAGATGGCAGCACAATCGTCCGATCAAGCGAAAAAAAAATCTGCGCAAATCGGGATAATCATCACTGGGGCATAGGTGTTTGGAATAGGGGATATTTGTCAAAAGTGACACGATGGGGTAAAACGTATGAGATAATTAGAAACGGATTAGTTTGAGGTCTCGCTTTCACACACCCTACACTTTATAAATAAATTCGACGTAAATTGATTTGCTGACTCAGAATAATAACACAAAGGCAATAAATATTGTGTGCCAAAAGCTAAGTTTTAAAATACCGGGCACTGAAAATTATATCTTCACTTGTTTACGCAAGATACTATTAATTTAATCACAGTTATGTTTTATCTATTTCAAGCACATTTCAATAAATGCCATCAAAGTAAATTCATATACATGCATACAATGTCTAATTTATGAGAGCTATAATATATCGACGCTGGAAAGCAAACACGTAGTAACCCGCAAAAACAAAATTTTTATTTAGAGCAGAAAAGCTTTTACTTTTTTCGATAAATAATTCCTATTAACGACCATGGTAATAAATAAGGTGTTCCTTAATCAATTTATACGGAAATAAGATATTTTTTTTTTTGAAAAATATAAAGATTTTCCACTTTAAATTTCCATTTTGGTTTTGCGAGTTACTACGTGTTTGCTTTCCAGCGTCGATATGACCTAGGGCGGCTAAGCCTCAAATCTGCCTCTGATCTTGCTACACCTTCAGCCCTTCACCTTGATCCCTTGCGGAATATACAGCGGTGACTAAGCGCCACAAAGCAGTCTACACAGGTCTTTCGCGTTCCATGAATGCAACGTTCCATGAACATTTTACACATACCTATGTTTGCTAATATTCTGTCGTCATGTAAGTATTAATCAAGTAACATATTAATAATTGTTAGTTAGCGCACAAAAGTTTAAAAAATTGTGATCTTTCTTAAAATAGTTCGTCTTGACATTCTTCAAATAGTAGTTGAAATATAATCATATGCCTGTATACTAAAAGTTTCCTTCCATATTTTTATAATAGACAGTAGGTATTATGTAACTCATAATTTTATCTCATTTGTGCAACAGAAATTGTAATAATTTCTTCATAAGTTCATAATTTCTAAGTACCTAACGCAACTTTTACAAGTGTTTAATTATTACCACTTAACTATTTTTTGCCGACGTAAATTATAGTCTATGAACTATTAATATGTACGTAATTGATTTAGCTTCCCGTATCTGATCAATATTTTTGAATGATACCCCCTACAAACAAACTTAGAAACCTTGCCTCTTTATAAAAATAATACCTATAGATTAGGATTTTCTTTTTTCAAATATTGTTACACTCAAACAGTAAACCCTAAAGTTTAAATGCTAATTATATTATAATATGACATTTAGGAATGATCATAGGAGCAATTTTGCTACGGTGAAACACTTGCAAAACGCAGTTGCGTAGTCGGTGCAAACAGTTAGGGTAACCATAAGTACTAAAATATTTTACACAATAAAATACAAAGTAACTAAACAAACTTCAATTATTGATCTGTGGCAAAACTTAGGCGCAAAAAGTTATACTGCAGGTTACGGTACATTTAAAACTATAAGATATATCAGTGAAGAATAAATTAAAAACTAAAACGACAAAAATAGAGTAGGCGAGTAATAAATTCATGAATTTTTGCATTCGGTGAATTTAAATTAATTACGATACAACATCTTGATTTTTTTTCTTAAATCTTTACTTTAAAATTAGTCTGATATTATTACACCAACCAAATATTTTGCTTAGGTACCTACCTACTTAATATTTTTAATATCTAAAAGTATTCACTTGATATTTTTATTCTGTTAAATTCAGCCCCATAGACTTTTACTTAATATGTTACTTTGAATTTGGCAACTTAAATTGCGCATACACCCAAACGTAATAAACCCGAGGTAATTATGGAGCACTTTTTCAATAACTGCAATAGTTTGCGATTAATCAATTAAAAACTGTTTTCCACGTAATTCACCTTCCTTTGGTTCTATCTCGTTGCCAGACACAATGAGATAGACAGATGCTTCTCTTAAAACGAACAAAACATAGTTATCCTTACCCTTAACTCAGTTCATGGTCACACCACGCCACCCCTAACAAGAGCTAGCGTCGAGGGAGTAAACTGCGCCAGTTATCCACAGTTCCGTTTAATTAAAATCATATTAGATCTAGCGTCGGAAATGCGATTTTCCGCTCGTGTTGGTACTTAGCAAAAAATAAGTTGCGATTAAAAAATAGCAAGGATCTCCATGGTCGTGAAAGATGATAAACCCCAGCGCCGGCTCGATGAAACTTGGCGCCCTAGGCATAATAATGCGGCCATAAAAAATCACAACACAATAAAATAAAATAACAATAAGGCTCATTTAGACCGACTAACACCGATTATAGTGTTATTTTGCAAATAGCAAAAGAAACTCCTTGGACTCATTTCCAGACAAGTTTCTTTTTTAAGTACTGCAGTTTAAAGGTTCAAATAATTAGAGCAAACACAATAGGCAGTTTCCTAGTTTACCTATATGGACGGGCCGGTCCTGATAAACCCAAATGTTTATAATTTTTCCCTATAAAAATGACAATTACCTACAAGAAGAAATGGAAAAATGGTAAATGTTAGATAGTTTTTTTTTTCGAGAAATTTTATAAATATGCCTACAGTTCGACAGTTACTAATATAAGCTTTAGAAATATAAATTAAATATTCTCATTTCCAAATACAAAAGTATTTTTTATTATATTTAAATGTCAAATTAATATAAAACAATATCGCACGCATTATTGTCATATTGCGCGCTCGCTGCACGTGCGGAGAACCCCTTATAATTGAAGCGTGTAATCTCATAATATGTTTTGTTAGGGATCCATATTTTGACACGGTCACCCTAATTTTGACTTTTAGCAAAATGGAAACTGTTTAGTTCCATTCAAAATCATAATATGTAACACCATTATTCTTAAAAAAGCATTTATTAAATCATATGTTAATTAGAGATCGTTTTCAATAAAGATTATGATAGGATATCACAGTTTTTATGAAGAAATCGTCTAGTCTTAGACCAAAAATTTATTATTTCATCGTATTTTAATAAAATTCGAAACTACTTAACCGATTTGATTATTTACATAGGCTATAATTTACGTGGGCGAAGTCGCTAGCAACTTTGTAACCAACATGTAAGCCACTATGACTACACTAGGATGTAAGACCACGAAGACCATCGTTCAATTAATTAAATTTTAGGAATATTAATAAAATGAAACACATGGAGCTATATTTAAATATATTTTTCTGCAACATTCACTACAGACGTCAGGGTTTCTCCTTAGGCTTCTGATCAGGCTTATTGGTGATGCGCTCCATCACCTCATGATTGTATGTGGAGTGTAGCATCAGCCCCAACACGCCAGCCCTACACAAAGACAACAATAGATTTCACAAACATATTTTTCACTTCTTAAATGAAAAATGAATCATTCGAGAACTTACAAGCCGAAATGGATTTATTACAAACAAACAGTAAATTTCCTATATAATGATTAAGTTACATGATTTGAATAAAAAAAAACCTTTACGAAATATAATATAAAAACTTGAATTTAAAAAAGTACATAGGGCTTTGATATAGGATAGGACAGGACGGGACATAAAGCCCCACATAATTTTATTTTGCGTTAACAGAAATACATTATATGTCAAAGTTTAAATTGTCTATCTATCGTGGGCTCATAAGAAAAAGACAGACAGTAGTCTTAGTAAAAGGGTGCAGAACCCCAAAAAAATATTTTGAACACAACGGAACTTCTTTAACATAAACAACTGTCTCACCTCGAAGCCATAGCGAGTCTTATACTCCTCTCCTGCTCGACCAACTCATCCAATCTTAGCCACTGTCTCACTCTCTCCATATCTATCTCAGCTCGTCTCAGCTTCTCCCATTGATAATGTTTCAGGCAGGCCTTCTTCGGTGCCCGACAGAATTCTCCAGTCGGTTCGAACACACGTTTCACTAATGGACATCCACATACGTCCGAGTCATTCACTTTAGGATCTTTAAAGTGTTCAGGACACATTACCTGGTGGAATTTATTAATTTATTTTAAGGAGTACATCAACCATAAAAACAACACAAATAAACACATATAATGGATAAGCGCCGCGGCCCGTGATTGTTAAGCAACTTTCGCAAAAGTTGGTCACAGGATGGGTAACCAAAAAATTATTATCTCAAGCTACTCCGTGCTACGGTAGGACCGTAAAGCCGTTAGTCCCGGTTGTATTTGCAGTCTTTAATACCCTCCAATCCGCGTTGGGCTAGCGTAGAAGGTCATGGCCCATCCTCTTAAACCATCCTGAGCCCCTGCATTGGGAACGTAAAATAGCTGATGATGATGATACTGACGTTATAAAGAGAAAAGATTTCATTTTTTTTATTTGCATTGAATAGACTCCGAAATTACTGACCGGTTTTCAAAATTCTTTGGAGGAGAGTAAATACGCTGGTGACATAGGCTGTAATGTACGTGAGCGAATTCGCAGTAAAATAGCTTGTTATATCATATAATTGATTAGACAATTCAGTTTTTAAAGTGTCGATTTAATCAGTTAGCCATTAAAATAAAATAATATAAAAATAAACAAATGCAAGTCGGGACTTCATAGGCCATGAAGGGTTCCGTAACAGCAATCATTGATTATCACAATGATAAAGTTATATTTGCTGATTTTGAAAATATACTATATCTCAAAAACCACTGAGTAAATCTTGTAATATTCAATGAGATCGACAGAATATATTTTTACACCTAAAAAAACGGGAAGGACACATTTTACAACTTTGGAGGTGCCTGTCATTCAAGTTATTTACTTTTAAAATATTTTTTAGTAACCTCAATGTAACTTTATTCCCGGTTTGTGGTCCATTCAGCTCTGCAGACATCAATAACGAGGTTTCCTTCGACTGGGACCGCAAATCCTCGGACCATGGTCCCATTGCAGGATTTATTTAATTTTCAACCGGTACAACCCAGCCACCGGTAATCTCCCAATAACATTATAATAATTACATTTATGATTATAGGTATTTATTGCCCTAATTAAACATGTTTTTCTGTAACTTACCCTAAGCCGTTTGCAGTATGTATGGTTGACGGGATTGTAGTAATCACAGAACATGCTCTGTCCGTCGATACGCGTTCGATGCCGACTGCCGAACGACGCTTGCGCCTCGTACTTTATGAAACACTTCTCCATGTGTTTCACAGCAGTACGAGAGTGGATCTCGTGACCGCAAGTTATACAGTACATGGAAGTCTCGTCGTCCGCTTCCTGTCAATCAGGGTTTGTAATTATCAAGATTATTGTTTTTTTTTTGGATAATTATAATGATAATTGTCGGATAATGATGCGATTATTATCTGATGATTATCCATAGTTAATGGCAACAATTATTTTAATCCAGAAAGGCATTCATAACTGAATTATATTTCATTTTTATTATTTAAAAATTATACAATCAAAATAAACAAAAATCTACTATGCAAACAAATCGAACAAAAAGTGAAATTAACATATTTTTTTAAATAAAAAGGAGTCTTTTAATTTTTTTGTTTTGTTTTTATAGTCCATCATAGACAATTTATATTCTATGCCTGTGTTATCTGAGCTTTTTGTTAAATTGGAGTAAAAAAATACCATCTAAAACTTTTCTATAATCTGACTGACGGACTAAATATTTTTTTTTTCTACCCTATTGTCATCCCTATTCATCGCCAAATAAAACAATATTGTCAGTCAATGAATAGAGATTATTTTCATTGTATTAAAGAAACAAAATTTCAGTTACATTTGTTTCAACTGTCAAAAGATGGCATTAATGTTTGAATTTAATGATACGTTTATATTGACAAGTTTTGTGCTCACTTGCAACGTTCTGTTTATCCACCCTGAAACAGCCGTAAACATATGAACCCAGCCCAAGATACTTTGGATAAATAAGAATGATTTATTTTGATTAATGAAAATGTGATTTTTATAGACAGATAGAAAACACGATAGAAGCTTTTGTGTAGTAGACAATTTTATTCCAATGTACTTGGAGTAAAAAATCGGAAGAACATTCAAAAGTGACTTCCATCTATCCACCCCGTTCAGGATAGTTAGATGAATACGCGTTTCCTTAGGGTTTTGAAACAGACGTTTCAGGGTGGATACAAGGAATAAGCCAACATTTTAACTAGTAGACTTCATTTTTAACTAATTTTAGATTAATATAAATTATATAAAAAACTATATACCTTGTCATCACTATGTAGTATAGTGGCATTCTTTGCTCTTGAAACTAGTGCGTCTAAATCGGAGTGCTGTTTGTCGAGCGCTCGCAGCGCTGATTGTGCTCGTTCGATTTCGCTGCGGACCGCTTCTAACGCTTTTCGATTCTTCTGTTCCGCTACGCATGTCGACAGAGACCACTCCTGAATACGTTGTGGTAACACCTGTTTATTTTAAAATTAAGAAAACAAGTTATAGAAAAATAAAAAGCAGCTAGTTATTTAAGTAAGAAAAAAATATGTATCTACGTTTGTATATTGTACCATAACTGTTAAATTTAGCTTTCCCTTTGAACCAGGGGTCCCAAGTTATTTATAATAAGAGACCCCTTTAGGCTTTATTATGCCTGGCCTTACAATTTTTGACCGAGCTTCCTATCTTCACCCCACTCAATAGCAGGTCGTTATTAATCTAGCTTCTCTTTCATTCAAGTTTTATTAGACGCTTTAATCGGTCCATTAAGCGTGAAAAAGTTGGCTGTCTTACTCCAGCCAACCTAACTCCGCCCAGAAGCGCAAAAGCTTTTATGGTATTCACAGGCTTCGGGGAGTGTTGATCGATTGCCCAGTATGTGTTCCCGGTGAGCTGCCAGACTCTTGCATTCTATAATTGCGTGAGCATTGGTTTCTTCTATTGACATGTAAGCCCTACGGGGAAGCCTATGGTGTGGAGGTGTTTTTTGAGTGAGCTGTGTCTTGTTAAAATACCAACGATTGTGCGCAGATCCTTCCGATTCATACGGAGTACCGACCTGGCTAGCTTTGGTTTGAGATGCGGTTCGGTCAGGAAGGAGATGAGTACTCAGCCTGAATGACTTTTCTTAGTACACTTGACATCATATTATAATCTAATCTATTTAACGTCCAGTTGCACAAACGTCTATTTAAAGCGACATTACCAATACTAAATTGTAAATTTAGAACACTTTTTAGAGTTTAAAGTTGTCATTAAACTTTAATGGACAACAGGGTTTGTACAACAGGGTGTATAAGTAATAAACAATTATTAATACAAATACAAGTCTAGAAGAGTATCAGCCGGTTTCTGAATAAAGAAAAGTACAAAATCTCAACTGATTATTCTTAATAACTTAAGTTTTTGACATTTCACAAGGCATAAAGTCTTAGTTTTATCAAGCTATTATTCATTAAAAAAAACTAAAATTAATTAAGCTATCATTAAAAAAACTAAAATTACTAAGATTTACTTTAAATTCTCAATGAAGAAGTTTTTAAAAAAACGTTAGTTCCCGAAATCTAGATAAAAGTAGATGTCGCTACGGTACTTTCTTGATTTTTCATGATAACCCTTGCGGTTTTCTTTCATGTATAAAAGTAAATTCATTTTCAAAACTCGATTAACAACTCATATTCTATTTGTACTTTTTGGTATTTGTATTGATATCTAAGTTTCGAACTTGGCAAATTTCAGATTTTTAATGTGTTAGTTAAAAGGAACAGAAATGGTTATCTTTGGTCCATTCATTTCCTGCAAAAATCAACTTTTAGTAGTGTATCATCAAGTCAGGTACTTTTTTGTGATTTCTTTTTTTTTCTTAAAATACTTCCTCATTCAGAAGCGGTGTTTATATAAGACCTCATGATGTTAGTGATGGTACTTAAGTGACATCACCTGATATATTCTAGCGGTGGCAAGCCTCATGCCGCACTGATGCGAACAGTACTTGGAGCCGTACAATGCTGCACGAGTACACTGTGGCCCGTAGCAGTGTCTTGGCTCAGCCGTCTGTAGATGGGCGACGGACTCCTCGGGCTCATATGGTTCGCGTTCATGGTGCTTCTTTTTAACACGACTACTGCTATACTGAGCACTATTCGACATTCAATTAAACTCATATCAGCTGGAGAAGTTTCAAAACTAAAGCAGATATGATGCTGTATCGTGATAGAAAAGTGTATGCGCATTTATGGAAAACTTGGAATACTTTCGATAAGTGCCTTTAAATTCTGGCCCACTGAACAATTGTCTGAGTAAACTTATTTTATGCCTTAAAAGAAAGTCAACTAATAGAATAATTTGTACTCATTGATAAGGCTCTCTTGTATCTCCTCTATTCCCATTCAAATATGAAAAGAAATAGGAATATGCCCATATATATTCTAAATTTAGAGGTCGCACAAATCTGTCGCCTAAATATTTAGGAATCACCTAAGGTAAAAATGCATTTCACTGTTGAATAGGAAACACCTAGCAAAACTTTGTAATGTCTAAAATTATGATATTTGTTATGCGGCGCCTTGCGCTAGACATATACGTATATGTCATAAATATGTCAAGTGATAAAAGAAAAAATATTTATTTGCGATTAAACTAATCTGCTTAGGCGATTCTTAATATTAGGTGTTTCCTAATTAAGCTAAGCCTTGCTTTAGGTAAGTGAAAATGGGTATAAGTTATAAAAATAAATGCTTTCTAACATAATCAAAATATGTTTTTTTTTCTATTACAGGTGATCCTTATTCAAGAAACAGGGAATCGGTGATCAAACATAAACCCTACTTCAATAAAAAAAAATAAATAAGTAATGTTTAACTTCAAAAATCCTTCTCTGAAATTAAATGAAAATATTATACTAAATCAGACTCAATTTAGAAAAAGAGACTCACCTTGGCGGTTTTGATATTTTCTTACTTTTAACACACATTCTCATTTTGCACTTTAGCTTACTCTTATTGCTACTTCCATATTTATACATTTCCTCACAGGCATCACAACTGCAATAATAAAGGATTGTTAAAGCAATCTATAATCATGTTAAATTATTTTATTTGATTATTATGTGAATGGGGATGAAGACAACTTATTTTATATTTGTAATTTATAGATATAAATGTTTTAAAAAATTATTAAAAAAATTATCATTCATATAATATTAATAAGTTAGAATCTAAATATAAATTTAATTTTCAAAATATCCCATGAAAACACCACTTCTGTCATGGCGTCGATATGACATCACAGTTCTCTAAAATTTTGTTTTTCATAATTAATTTAAGCAATATTATAAATAAATTTGAATATTAAACAATAATAGTATTTTTACACACAAAAAATATGTATTTAATTTTGTTTACTGTCTACACCTGTATTGATGAATAAGTTCTACCAGTCATTTTTTTATAGAAATACCATGCAATTAAATAGTATACTAACTGTCCACAATCATTTAATTGTAAACAGCCTGGACAATCTCCACATCCATCCTTGGTGCTTGCTCTTTTTGATGATTTATTCTCAGAATAATCTTTCTCTTTCCGTTTCTTTTTTCTGTCCTCTTTTCCTACAAAAAAATTTCATACACAGTTTTCATTAAAATTATAAAGAAAGTTTTATATTTTCAATTTAAATTTGTAGTATTCAATGGTGTTATGCCATGTTAGTATTTCTGCATTATTAAAGAATTTGCTTGGTATTACCAGAATCTCCATCATTTTCCCTCTTCTGGGGTCTGAATCTTGTTTTAAGAGTAGGGTCTTCCTCACGGCAGCGATCACAAAAATAGTTTTTTATGTACTTGGCTTCCCTCTCAGAGATATTTATGCAGTCACCGTGATACCATTCTTCGCAAGAATCGCATGCTCTGTGATAGGAAACAATCCTTTTTATTCATTCAACTATTCTAATAGTGATTCATACATTTTTTGATCAATAGTTTAATTCATAAATTCAAATTAGTTACTATCCTTTAATTAAATATTGTTATGGACTGAGACATTTGATCATTACTATCCATTTATGCCAAAATTCTATTTCACTCATGTCATGCAGTGTATAAATACTATTGATTCCATTATTTGTTTCAAAATAAAAGAAAAATGATTGATTATATGTGTCTCAGATATTATATCAGTGTCATTTCGAAACTCACTTCACTTATGCTACAAAATATTATTAGCAATCCAAGGTTGAGCATATGCCACTTTTGAAGTGAATTCAGACACCTAAGTGAATTTCAATATGGGTTTCGATTTTTACAGAAACACAGGGCTGATACAGATATCTTAGTATGTCTAATAGGATAGGATAAACAGTAGTAGTTTTTAATGAATAAATAATAAACATTACAAATAATATGTATATAATAGAAATACATACATCTAAATAACAAATATATTTTTAACTTACATCATGAAACGCGAACTATCAGAGGAACGACAAATACAGTACGCTTGCCCTGCTTGGTTGAGCAGCGTTGTGATTTTGGACTGGCGTTCAGGAAGATCAAATTGCTTCGCAATATCAGCTTTCTGTGAATCGAAAAAATTAAGGTGGAATTTTCAGTCACCAATAAGTTATAAATAAGTATTTTAATGAAATGATTGTTTAACAATTATACTGGATTTACATAGCAAAAGGCGAAAAGTATACGTACACTTTGCTTATATTTTTTGTCACCCATTTCGTTAGGATATGGTAAAGCTTAGTTTGTTTTTTATAAGAATATGATTATTTTTTCAATTAATTTAATTTCTGATTCTTATTTCCATTCCATTAAAAACAAATGGAATTTTTCTCTAAAATAAAATAATGAACGTCAACTAACTGAATTGACACCTTAGGTTGACACTTGGTTGACACTGACAGCAAAGCATCAAATGTCAAAGAACTATGCCAAAGATAATGTGGAATACAAAGAGTAAATGTAAATGATGCTACAAAGGTAAAATAAATAATCTTTTATTAAATGTATCGTGTTGTGTCACATGTATTATGCTTTGTATAAATGTAAAACAGATATATCTATTTCTTAGTCGCACAACCATGGTATACATAATACAACACAGCATACTAATATTGCTTTCGAACTAAACAAAACGCAGTAGGTTACACAATGAGGAAGTATTTAAACAAAAAGCACAAAAAAAGCACGTCCACTAGATGGCGACTCTAGCAAAAGTTGATTTTTGCAGGAAACGAATGGACCAAACACAGTCAATTCAGTGCCTTTTAACTAACATATTAAAAAACTAAAAATTGAAAAGTTTGTTACTTAGATATCAATACAAATAAGAAAAAGTGCAAATAGAATATAGGTTGTTTATTGAGTTTTGAAAATTAATTTACTTTAAAACTTGAAAGAAAACCGGAATGGTTGTCATGAAGAAATCAAGAACGTACCGTAGAAACATTTAGTTTGATTTCGGGAAATAATGTTTTTTTTAAATACTTTCTCATTGCTGCTGGCACGCATGAAACACCAACTTAAAAATAATGTTATTTTCCATCCGTTTCTGCGTACATAATTCTAGAATAGGACGTATTACTCTAGACAACTTTTTATTTACAAAACTTTCCTTTCCACTTAAGATTTACAATTTGCTCCAGCGTAATTACGGAAGAAGTTGATCTTTCGCTTTAAAAATATATATTTATCCAAAAACATAAAATATGGTATGGGCTAGATTCCTCTGCCATTATTTAAACGAAGAAAATGCTCTTACTTCTGAGCAGTGACGTACTGATTCAGCAACTTTCGATATTCGAGTAATTAGGTATTCAAAGAAGAATGAATCCAATGAGGAAGTATTAAAAAAAAACGTAAGCACTAAAAAGAACCTCCACTAGATGGCGACTCTAGCAAAAGTTGTTTTTTACAGGAAATGAATGGACCAAAGCCAGTCATTTCCATTCCTTTTAACTAACATAAAAAAAAATGAAATTTGAAATGTTCTTAATTTAGATATTAATACAAATACGAAAAAGTACAAATAGAATATGAGTTGATTATTGAGTTTTAAAAATTAATTTACTTTTAAACATGAAAGAAAACCGGAAGTGTTGTCATGGAGAAATCACGAACGTACCGTAGTGAGATCTAGTTTGATTTCAGGAACTAATGTTTATTTTTAAATACTTCCTCATTATGATTTGAGTCAGAATACCTAAGACAGATATTCGAGTTCTAGTACGAGTATTCGAGTACTTCAGTGGCCGCGAGTAATTTTTGAAGCGAACTTTGTAGTTTTATTTTAACATTAAAACAATATTTCGTCGTAAATCAGATAAGAATGATAAGATGTAAATAATAATTAAGATCATGTATGAGCAGTCATTTATCAGCCATCATTCTTTGGTAATCATAACGTGTTGTTATATTAAAGCTAGCAACTAAAAATCCTAATTTACCTTCTAGAAAAGTTCTGTGGAAGCAATATTTATTCACTTTGATATATGCTTTGAAATTCAAATATCGTAGTAGTCCACGAATCTGTATCCCAGAACTATGTCAAATATCTGCTAGGTATTGGAGTCAGCTGACTCGATCACTCTACTGGTAGTTGCCATAGTAACGCATATCTTGTTTACTTCTACTGAAGTTTATTTCATAAAAAAAGTAACCTTTTGATATTTCAGAGGCAAACTTGAAGTGATATCACATATCACTTTATTCTAACTTTGTTATTTAGCTAATTACAACAATGGAAAACCTAGATACACCGCAAATAATTACGCATATTGAAAATAATATAAATCACTCAATATTTGATTGTAAGTGGATACCGTGCTCAGCAAAATTTGTTGTAATTGGATGTTTGCCAAAGGGAAGCGGTACTATAGAAATTTTTGAAATTACCTCTGGAGAGGCTCACAAAATAAAAGATATTGAAAGACCTAATTCTTTCAAATGTGGTACTTTTGGTGCTAGCAGTGATGTCGAACGAAGACTATCAACAGGTGACTTCAAAGGGACCTTAGAAATATGGTATGTATAAAATTTTAATAACAACTATAAGAAAGCAACCAAAAAATTTGTAAGTAATAGAAGTACTGTCCAATTTCTAGCCATTCGATATTTGTTTTCAAGTTTGTAATCTCTACTAGTATGGTGTATGTTTATATTCACCATAACAATGGCGTTACAAATAAAAATAAACTATACAAACAAGCTCTATTTTAGAACATAGTAACTAGAATTTCACAAATTTCATAGATAAATACATAGATCTCAATTTCACAAATTTCATAGATAAATACATAGATCTGTGATTTATATTTAGAAAATGTTATCTTCCATACATTGGCAATAAATTTAGCATTTTTTTGTGCAGTAAATGGCAACAGTTATGTAGAAAAGCATTGGCTTGTTTTTAAATAGAAGGTGATTTTTATCAATTTCCACCTCTTCCCAAGAAGTATTACGACTTGAGACTCGAGAAATAGGCAAGAGTGAGATGTTGTATGGGCATGTCTCACTCTCTACCTGTTTATTAAACCTCTAAATTTTGTAAATCATATGTATAGTAACACACAAAATCAAGATTTATCTTCAGAGTAGAATAACTTTCTGTTTTAAAAAAAATTTGGACATCTATATTAACAAATACGATATCATGGTATCCCTTATCAATTAACACATTAATAAGATTTTTTTATGATTAACTAGCTTTTGCCAGCAGCTTCAGCAGAGTCAGCTAATACCCTATCTGTATATCAAATTTCATCAAAATTGGTTCAGTACTTTCGGCATAATTGACGGTTGAAACAAAGTAATTTTCACATTTATAATATTAATGGGATAAGTTATTCTAATCTGTAAAACAATTATTTTCAGCTGGTCTATATATCTAGCTGCTTACTATGAAGCAATGGCATGAACAAATATGTTGCATGCTTTTTTTAATCAAAAAATTGTCAATGGTAAATTTCACTGATAGAACCTTTTATTAAAAAATAACTGTATATATTAATTACCTTATTGTATTAGTCATATTGCTGAATAGTGGAAATGATATCTTTCTAATTATTTATGTACATTGAAAATGGTATGTTTGTATGTAGTAATTTAATTAACTATCTACAGGGATTTGGAAAAAAGTTGTCAAGTGTATATAACAAAAGAGCACAAAGATATTATTAATTCCATAGATGGAATGGGAGGCAACACTATGAATTGTGGTGCTCCAGAAATTGTCACTGGAAGTAGAGATGGTAAGGTTTAATTTTTTATTAGTTAATATACCTAATCAATATGTTAGTCAGTATAAGAAAAAATAATTATTATTCATATCTTCGATGTGGTATAAAGTTTTTGTTTGATAAATCTTTACTGGGAAGGTAATGCAAAATATTAATAAGCATGATCTGCTAATAAATAAAAGAGAATCATGTAATGTATCTACTCATTCAAATCTCTTTTGTACAATTACCTTATTCATTATAATAAATTATATTTTAATACTAGACTATCATTATCAACATATAGTAGCACATTAGGTAGCCAAGAGAATGTGGAATAATAGTAGTGAATATTGTACTGTACTGCTGTGTATTAATCTTAAGTAATGTAATTCCTTGGCGCCCTTACATTTTCACTCAAATTCTAATGTATGGTATAGAAACAGTGTTAACCTTGGAAAAAGCCATACAGCCAGTTTCAGAATTAAGAAAAGCACAAAGTATCAACTGATTATTCTCAATAACTTAAGTTTTCAATGTTTCACAAGTCAATAAATATTATCGAACTGCTAATCAACTGATCATTAAAAAACTAAAATCCGAACCGAAAAACTGTTTAAGTGATGTTTAAGTACAATTTGAGACGTTTTTAACTTTAAATTGTCGATTCAGAAACCGGGTCCGGGTTAGTCCCTGTTATCGGGAAAAAATGTGTAGACAGTGCATATTTACACAATTTTTTTTCACGTAAATGAAAAATTGTTTGGACGTGAATTAAACTTTTGCTTATAGGAACTGTGAAAGTTTGGGATCCTCGTCAGCGTGGCAAACCGGTCGCTAACATGCAGCCGGCTATGGGTGAGACGAAGCGCGACTGCTGGACAGTGGCATTCGGCAACTCGTTCAATGATGCTGAGAGAATCGTCATCGCTGGTTACGACAATGGGGACCTCAAGATGTTCGATTTGCGCACGATGTCGCTCAGATGGGAGTGTAACTTGAAGAATGGGGTAAGGGTTTTTTTGTAATATCAATTTTCTTTATTGTATGTAGGTACACAAAGTAGCACGGTAACCACAAACTGTTTTTACAATCAATTTTAATTTATTACCAGTATTAAGGTTGAAAATCAAGCGTCTCCGCTGTTTTTTGATAGTTACCTAGTTACCTGCTGTTGGTTGTATCCACACATAGCATCCAAGTAGCACAGTAACGCTGTATAGTAGCTGAATAATTGTCCACATTATTATCCTAAGCAGTACAAACGTGTTGAATAAGAGAGTTAGAGGTGCTGTAAGTACTGATACAACTCTGTCTGCAAAAATAGCAAATTCTACGGGTCTCACGCGTTTGGAAGGCCCGCGCAATCGGGAGCCTCGTTATGGTCTGACCAATAAATGAATTCCAAAGTTAGTGTTAATGAAAGAATTTAATACGATTATGACTGAACTCATATTTTTAAGTATAAACATAAACTGTCAAATAAAACTCAAATCACAGATTTCACGTGTAACACAACACAATTAATCTGTGACTTGAGTTTATTTTTATATTTATATTGGGACTTTTCTGTTTCGGTAGGGGAAGGAGGTGTATAAAAAATCTGCTACAGGCCCCGTTCTGGTTAATCTAGCATTGCTTGTTTGTTTGCAGGTTTGCTGCGCCGAGTTCGACCGCAAAGACATTCCAATGAATAAATTAGTAGCGACAACACTCGAGGGAAAATTCCACGTGTTCGATGTCAGAACTCAAAATCCAACCAAAGGATTTGCACAGGTTTGTATATTTTAGTATGTAGACTCGTTGCCTGAAAAATTTAATATTTCAAAAGCGTTAGTATTCAAGTCTCTAATCTATTTATCTCAGGTAATGGACAGTACATCAAAGAGTGGGACAATATGGGTGGCCCGCCACCTTCCTCAAAACCGTGACATATTCATTACGTGTGCCGGGAACGGACACGTGTCACTTTGGAAATAGTAAGTGTTGATATGGAAATGACTTAACAATGGACAATTTAATAAGCATGCACCTTTATTATAACTCTTACAAATAACTTGACACCTGCAGGTCTATTTGTTCTTGAACGAAAATTTGGATGATTTAGAATCGGTTCTTATAATTTTGTTAAAATCAGTCAAAATGATCTATGCATCAGAGTCAGTGTCAAATCCTACTTTCGTTGCATCATAAATAGGTATATAATATAAATTATGGAAAATTGCGTTTCTTTGGAGTCGTATTAGCGTTTTAAAAATAGACAAAATTTCATGTTCAAAGGAAAAGAATAGGCCTTTAGGTGTCATTTTATTTCGTATGAGTATTATATTTCCTTAATTACTTGAGAAATATGAAACGACTGAGTGTGAATTGAGAAATTTGATTATAACAGTGTAAAATTTATAATACTCACTTATTATATTAATGTTTTTGTGGTTTTTTTTTTAACTTGTAAAAAATATTTAATTTAAGTATAAGTAAATGTTTAACTTAAGTTCATGAAAACCTCAATATGAGTTTATATATTTTTTTGTCAGCGAATACCCAGAACAGCGTTGTCGCGTCGACGACAAGGGTGTCGCGTGCGGTGTCAGCGGTCGCTTGAATCGCTTGCAGCGGATGGTGATCAGCACTCAGCCGCTTAATGCGCTAGAATGGAACAGAGATCATCTGGGATTAGCACTCGCCACCTCCTATGATCAATACGTGAGGGTATTGCTCACCACCAAACTGAACTTACACTGATGTATGGAATATGCTGTGGATATGTACAGTCAGAGATTAAGAAGTCAGACTGGTGAGTTCATTGACATGATAAGAGGTCAAAGAATTTATGGAATTCTCTACATTTCAGCTGTGTCGATTGAAAGGCGAGCATTTTATTTCGCAGTCCTTACGTGATTAAACGTGAATAAATAAATACACTTGAGTTACTTCATCTGGGTATCATTGTGGTTTAGTAGTGAAAAAACTAGTCAGAAAAGCAATTAGTCTTCTCATTTTGTTGATGTAATAAAACTTTATTATTTATGATCAATTTTATAATGTAGCTATTTTATTCTTTCAACCACCTTTATCTTGACGATAAAACAAGTTTCGTAAAACTAACTTTCGTACATGTGAAACTGTTTCGCAATGGCGTGAAATCAGCAGTATCTCGGACTCCATCACCATAGAAGCTTCACCATCAACATCATACTCGGCGCAGATGCTGTCGCGACACAGATTAGCCATGTAAATGTCAGTAAATTAGTTCCATGACATTAGTTTTATAATAATACTAGCAATAATATTAATATTGAAAAATATTGCGTAAACTGACTATAAATATCGTCAACTGAACGTTTGACAGCTAAGAATAGTTTGTATGGGAAAATCAAATTGTCGTTTTTAGTATTATACTCGCAATTTTGTTATATTTTCTCATCGTTTAAACCTTCACAGGGCTTCTACGAATATTTCAAGACTAAATTTTGTCAAATCGGCTCAGCCGTTTTCGAGTTTTAGCGAGACTAACGAACGGAAATTAATTTTTAGTTATATAGATACGCATAACATGAAACTATTCGCGACCGCATTGTAGAACTGTGGGGGTAGAGGAAATAGCTTGTGATATTATTGTCACCGACGTAGCAGGCCACATATCTAATCTATGGTTGTATTATATTTAAATAATAAAAAAAAGAATAAATGAGTTCCCAACAAAGTGGTGTCAAAGAAGTCAGGAAAAATTTTACTCACGATTTCAAATATTTTAAAATATATTTTTTCGTAGTATTTAAATACTACAAAGTCGTGCGTAAGTAATAATCCACACCATAAAAACGTAAGTACGTTCCATATTCATTATTTTGTAATTATACGTTTTCATTTCATAACTATCATGATAACCCGATCAAAAGCTAAAGCTATGGGCACCGATCAGAGCGAGGGCTCATCGGTCGGCTCAACATCATCTATTAAGGCACAAAAGCTTGCTGCGGAGGCTGCGTACCTCCGCCGTATTGCGGACTTAGAGAGGGCAGAACGTCGAGCCTCCTTAGAAGCCGACCGCTCCATAGCGGAGGCGGAGCACCGTGCGGAAATGGCCGCAATTGAGGCCGCAGAGGGAACCAGTCAGGTTTCCAGCCGACGTTCAAGTGTTTCTAGTCGTCATAGTCGCCGCACCGTTCATAGCTGGCTAAATGAAAACGTTATAAAGAATACTATATCTTATAGTGACAATTTAAATGTACAGGTGCCACCGATGGCTAGCGTGGATATTCTAGAGGCGCATTCGTCGCCATCAAGAGACGCAGAGGGTTTTGCAGCCCCCATTTCATCGAATGCCAGCATGCCCCTACCACGCACACGTACCACAACTAACGTCACATCTAACATTCCAATAATAACAAGTGCCCATTTATGTACAGATACGTGCCCTGAGACTTCTGTGCCCGATTTTGCGTATACGTGCGCACCTATTGGGCCTCAACCTACTGAAGTTAATGGATGCTACGTACCGCACTACCCAGTCTCAACTATGGCGCAAGTTACCTCTGTACCACACCTTGCGCCTTGTACGCCCCGTTTGCCAGGGTGTGCACACACATACTTAATGCCTCCTCAGAACTTCGGTCAAGCACACGCTGCACAGGGCGTTTCTAAAGCCTTTTCACCACGGACGCCGACTGTAACGGCGCCGACTGCGCCTGTCTGGCAGCCACCCTGTTCTCACTCACACTCTGCATTAGGTACACAAAACGCTCAAAAATGTAACACAAATAATAAAGCATTAGAAAACCAAAATTCTATTCAAAACTTAGCTGACGCCATAGCCAGCGTCGCGGTAGCAGCAAAGACACCAAAGGTAAGCTTTCCTCTTCCTATTTTTGAAGGTCGGCCAACAGACTGGCTAATCTTTAAGAAGATTTATGATGAAACAAGCCCGTCGTTTACAAACTCAGAGAACCTCATAAGAATCAATGCAGCCCTTCGCGGTCCTGCACGGGACTCTGTAGCTGTTCTTCTTGTAGCCACACGCGACCCTTCGGAGGTCATTCGAGCTCTCGAGACTGTTTTTGCTCGACCTGAGCAAATCATCCTGACTGAAATTGCATCCGCTCGTGCACTTCAAAAACTCTCCAGTCACGAGAGCGCGAATGAGCTTAATGTTTTTGCTTCTAAGGTTCACAACTGCGTGCAGGTGGTGCGTCTGCTGCATCGGCCTGAATATCTTGCCTCCCCAGAGCTTTCGAACGAAATTGTTAGCAAATTAACCCCGCTGCTTCGGTCTAGATGGGCTGATTTTGCAGCCAGTAGGGAAAAGGCGGATCCATATAAATATAGGCTCGAACTTCTGTCCGATTTTCTGATACAGGAAGCCAACTTGCGGGTCAGATACCAAGTTTTCAAGGTACCTGAAGTGAAAGACAAACCTGTGAGCAAAGAACATTGTCATACTACTTCTACCGCGTCATCTGTACCAATTGTTTCTCCGATGCCAAAAGAAAAGGTGTGCTCCTACTGTGAAACTTCAGGTCACGTGGTAAGGTCCTGCCATAAGTTTAGCGCCCTTTCCTCTGAAAAGAGGTGGGAGTGGGTTTCTTCTCAAAAGGTCTGTCACAAGTGTCTCATTAAGGGCTCTCATCAATATCGTAATTGCAAAAGGTTTTCGTGCAAAATTGTTGGCTGTAAAGGCAAAAATAGCCACCATACCCTATTGCATAAGGTTTGTGCTGATGTTGTCACCGATTTTGCTGATATTGTCACTGAATCCTCTGGTGTTCCTGAAGCTCCTGCGACTCCTGTAGTTGTTGGTCATAACTCGGCTTCATCTCCTGAGACTCCCACCGGTCGGCCGTTACTTAAAATCGTAGCAGTAACCATCACGGGGCCCAAGGGCAGCTTCGATACTTATGCGCTGCTTGATGACGGGTCAACTGCGACGCTTATTGACTCTGCGGTGTGTAATACCATCGGTGCCCAGGGTGTTAAGAGTCACATGAGAGTGGACGGCATCAGCGGTATGTCAAAAGAATCTGAGGTAAGTTTTGTCAGTGTGAATGTCAAAGGACAGCACTCTCTCAAATCTTATTGGCTAAAGAATGTCAGATCCATTCCTAATCTTGGCCTTAGTAAGCAATCGGCAAATAAGACAGACGTGAAGTCCTTTGATTATCTCGCAGACATTGCAGACACCTTATGCTATGATGATGTCACACCTATGCTGTTGATTGGCATTGACAATTGGCACCTTATAGCGTCTCATAGTACACGTCGTGGATCCCTTTCGCAACCAGTGGCATCCTTGACTGCCCTCGGTTGGGTTATTTACGGTTCTTTAAAGTGCAAATCGAAGGAATCTTATAACTGCGTTGTCGTAAATCATCTTGAAGCAGAGTTTACTGAATGCTTAGACTCCAGGCTTGACACACAGTTACAAGAGTACTTCCGAGTGGACTCTATCGGAATTTCCAAAAAAGATTATTTTTCCAAGAATGAACAAATTGCTATTCAGATCTTAGAGGATACCACAAGACGTCTGCCTTCAGGAAATTTTGAAACCGGTTTACTTTGGCGTCCTGAAGTTTCTAAAATGACAGTGCCCGATTCTTTCGATCTCGCTCGCTCTCGTTTTTTGAGCCTAGAAAGAAAAATGAAAAGAGACAAACAGTACGCGGATGCTTATCGTGGTAATATCGAAGCCATGATCACCAAAGGCTACGCGGAATTGTGCAACGATGAAAATAACGACGGGGTCTTATGGTATCTTCCTCATTTCGGTGTAGTCCACCCACAAAAACACAAGCTTCGTGTTGTCCACGATGCGGCTGCTGCATGTCAGGGAGTCAGTCTAAATTCTTTGTTGTTGCCAGGGCCAGACCTGCTTAAACCACTTTTAGCAATTTTGATGCGTTTCCGTGAAGGTAGCATTGCCATGAACGGAGACATACGGGAGATGTTTCCTCAGACTAAGATTAGGAAGGAGGATCGTAACGCTCAGAGGTTCCTCTGGCGTGACGCCCCCTCCAAGCCTCTCGATGAGTACCGTATGTCTTCGATGATGTTCGGTGCGGTGTCGAGTCCCTTCACGGCCCTATACCTTAAAAATAAAAATGCAGAGGACTATAGAGATCGGTTCCCAGCTGCAGCGGACGCCATCGTGGACAACCACTACATGGACGACTATCTAGGGAGCGTTAATTCGGACGAAGAGGCGAAACAGCTGGCTTTTGACATAACCTATGTCCACGCTCAAGCGGGTCTTGAGATGAGGGCGTGGGTATCTAATTCCCAAGAAGCTGTTTCTCTTCTCCCTCCGAATCTTAGGACTGACGTTTCCTCTGTTCTTGTGCGCGTCTTAGGTGTGTGCTGGAATACCGAGGACGATTCCCTAAGTTTTTGTCGCGGTAGTTTTGGAGACCCTCCACATAAGTTAACCAAGCGTTCCGTCCTGTCACATTTAATGCGGCTGTACGATCCCCTCGGGCTTTTGACTCCTCATATTATTCGTGGTCGCATATTGTTCCAAAAAACCTGGAGGATATGTACCGGTTGGGACGAAGAGTTGCCACCCGCTTTTGTCGCAGGTTGGACTGCTTGGTTTCGGGAAAGTGAAGTTCTCCTCTCTAGCACTATCCCCAGACATTACTTAGCGCATAAACATGCTCACCCTCAGGTTCAGCTTCACGTTTTCGCTGACGCAAGTGAGCTCGCATATGCCTGCGTAGCCTATTGGCGTTTCGAGTGCACTGACGGAAGCGTGAGGCTCAGCCTCATAGGTGGTAAGGCTCGGCTTGCGCCTCTGAAACCGCAGTCAATTCCGAGACTTGAACTCCAAGCTGCTCTTATCGCAGCACGTTTCGCGGCATACATTATAGAGGCTCACCGGCTTTACACGATTTCAAGAGTGACCTTATGGTCCGATAGCCTCACCGTTTTGAGGTGGTTGCGTAGCGACGCCCGCACGTTCAAGCCGTTCGTTGCGCATCGCATTGGTGAGATCGCTGAGATTACCAACATATCTAATTGGCGGCACGTGCCAACGGCACTGAACGTGGCGGACGACGCTACCAGAGTCACGTCAAAATTCGAAATTTCATCTCGATGGTTTTCTGGCCCTTCTTTTCTTGCTTGTCCCGAGTACGAGTGGCCAACCGAGTCATTTAACGAGATTCCACTAGTTCTCGAGGAAATGAAACGACCTCCTGTGGAAGTAATAACTGTAACAACTGCACGCGAATTACCTTACCCAGTGGTCCCAGACACCACTCGATTCAGCCGATGGATCCGTTTGCTTAGAGCTACTGCTCGTGTTTTTGTTTGCGCCAGAATTTTCAAGGCGGCGCTTTTAGACCCTACTTCTAAATTACTAAATTATGCGTCAGGGCGCCGAGAACCTACCGCAGAAGACATAAGCCGAGCAGAAGAATTCCTTTTACTTCAATCCCAACTATCGACCTTACGAGAGGATTACAATTTAACCCATCGGGGCGAGCCCCCAGCCAGACATGGCCGCCTAAGTAGATTAACTTTGATGGTGGACGACGAGAGCAAACTTCTTTGTCTGTCTGGTCGGATTGCAGCAGTGAAGGACGTGCCTATGTTGTCCAAGAACCCTATCGTGCTTGACGGGAAGGACCGAATTATCAGACTGTTAATCGCATACTACCACGAACGCGCAGCCCATTCAAGTAACGAGCTGGTTGTTAATGAACTACGGCAGCGATACTATATCATCGGCTTGAGACCAGCAGTGAAAAGTGTGGCTTCTTCATGTCTATATTGCCGCATCCGTAGGGCCACAGTATCAATTCCCCCTGTCGGAGATCTTCCCCCAGAGAGACTTGCGCACCATATGCGGCCGTTTACTTATGTGGGCCTCGACTACTTTGGCCCTATCACAGTCACGGTGGGACGGCACACAGAAAAAAGATATGTTGCCCTATTTACCTGTCTGACTATACGTGCCGTCCACTTAGAAGTAGTTGGAAACCTAAGTGCCGATGCCGCAATAATGGCACTAAGGAGATTTATTGCGCGACGAGGAACACCGGCCTCACTTTTTAGCGACAACGGCACGGCCTTCGTTGGAGCAAGCAGGGAGTTGGAGATCCTGTTCGCAAAGCCAGTTCTCGAATTCGCCACCAACTTAAAAATCAAATGGAAGTTCATTCCCCCCTCGGCTCCTTTCATGGGAGGATGCTGGGAGCGCTTGGTACGAAGCATCAAGACCGCTCTCTCGGTAACCCTGACGCAACACTCTCCTTCGGAGGAAGTCCTCAATACCTTCCTGTTGGAAGCGGAGAGCTTAGTTAACTCGCGTCCTCTTACCCATGTTAGTGTCGACCCTGATGATGAAGAGTCTATTACACCTTTTCATTTTTTACTCGGCTCTTCTTCACCTTACTCAGCGTTAGCTCAGGTGGACGACGCTGACATGATTCGCCGTGTAAAATGGAAACGAGGATTGCGCTTGGCGGATCATTTTTGGTCACGTTGGACTCGTGAATATCTTCCGGCATTAATACCTCGCAGCATCTCCGCTTCCGCCAGGAATATTGAGGTCAAAGATAATGTACTAATAGTAGACGGTAACCTCCCACGTGGAGTCTGGCCACGGGGGCGGGTTACCCGAACGTTTCCGGGCAAGGACGGCGTAGTCCGAGTAGTAGAAGTGGCCACTAAGGCTGGAATTCTGCGTCGTCCTGTCCGCAAACTAGTTGTGCTACCATCTTAATAATATTTTATATTAATATTTATTTACATATGTAGTGTGGTTTGTTACGTCGATGACCCTAAATTATTGTGTTGTCACACCGGGGGCGACCATGTCACCGACGTAGCAGGCCACATATCTAATCTATGGTTGTATTATATTTAAATAATAAAAAAAAGAATAAATGAGTTCCCAACAATTATAATGATACTAATTTGAAACGATTGAAAATTCGATAAAGTAGTGTTGACGTACACAATACCTTAAGTCTGAAATATTATTCTTTCTTTGTATAATCTAGTCGACATGTTTATCTTAATAAAACAACAAGTCAATTTTCTAACTCAAAAGAGCGATTTATTATCCTAGCACTTAGAAATAAAAATTAAGGCTAGCATTCAGTTCTTATTATCACTAATAAATGTTAGAACAAGAAGACCATTTCACGTCGCAGTTGTGATACAAATGTCGAAGCAAAACAGGACATGCGATGTATTCAGCGATACACGCAGTTTGCATTTAATATTATACATTATACTTTTAAATTGAATAACGATATCGTATTCGTATTACTTGATATAAAAGTATAACAATTGAGATATTACCCACAACTGCAACATGATTTATGAGTGTCCTACGAAAGCGATAACCGCGATATAACACGAAGCTATAAAACCTACAAAACCGCCTTAAGAGATACGATTTTAACAACTGTAAAATCAGTTAAATATTAATTAAAAGGATGATAGAATTACTTAATATGTTCTCCTTTATAAAAATATTCAATATTTCGTTTTTCTGTACATTCGAAGTCTGCAGATGTACTCTTAAGCAATTTTCACTACATCGTCAACTTTATCAAACTTTGTCCTGTTCTAAGATATTAAAAATACGCAAGGTAAAAAAGATAAAGGAAAAAACAGAATACGATACACTTAAAATCAACATTCGCATTTTTTAGTGTCGCTCCAAATCTGACGGAAAATCCATTGTGCAGAATTCATATCACAGAGTAATGAGTTAGTCGCGACGTAGATCATTCATCGCGACGCATCTTTCGTCAGATATGCGCCGATCCTAAGAGTATGTAACCGGTAGTTCGAGTATGAAAATTGCGCCAAAACACCTAGAAATTCGAGAATGAACAAACTTTAAATTACGTACAAGAATCGTCATTTTAACGCATTTGTCGCTTACGTAAGACACTGCCATACAGAACAGTCGGCGTAAGCTTCACTACACTTAACGTGTACATAACATAACAGCCTCGTCCAAATGAAAAATAAATCTAATTATATATCGAAACGTGTATTTAGTGCAAAGTAACTTTTACAACACGACCTTAAAGTAGACTTTTCGTTATCTGACGTCTTCTCTCGTGTAGTCATGCCCGTTCAAATCAACACTAAAGGGGCTGTAAAAAATGTCTTAATCTTTTTAAATAAGTTTCATTTCATTTTCACAAAAAATCTAGTTCTAAAACAATCATAAAGCTATGTGCAATCAGCATATTCAGATAAGGTTGTATAGACAATGGATAATAAATCATCACATAAGTCTGTCTGTCGTCTCGAAGGCATCGTTTATACGTGTCGATCGCTAACTAGTGAAATTGTACAAAAACTAAATTTTCATACTCCGTATAAGCTAACAATCGCTACACTAAGGACTTACAATATTTTATACAACACACCTCGAGGGCAGGTTAGAGTAGATTGCATTACTTTAATACATTTAAAATATGCAATCTCCATCTTTGATTGTTGTTACGATAAGCTGCTCTGAGATCGACAACTGAGTTAACATTATCACTCGATGGACTTATATCTACTAGGATTCGTTCGCTACGTTGAAACGGTGCGCGTTTTGTTTATTATATGTCCAAATTATTATATTTCCAACCGATCAGGCAAATTGTTTACACCTAGCTGAAACTCGGTAATGCACTTTATATGAAACATAACATCTAAAATATACGGGAGGCTAACGGTCAGCCGTCAACTAATCGCCTAATCGGCACGAAATTTTTTTTTTTACGTTTTCGGTAAGCGAAAATGAGACTTATGCTGGCTTAAAATACATGGCATTATTGTATCACTCGAGATGAGTGACGCGACGTGAATATATTGAAACTGTAAGCGTTCACACACGTACATAAGCGTTTACTCTACATTCGCACTGTGTATATTCCATATTCGATAAAAATCATCAGCGGAAAACGGTTTTTTTTTTTATTCCGATTTATTTGTCTATTTCGTCATGAATAATGTTGTCAAAGACTAACAAGTTTGAAATTGAATATTTATGACATTTTTAGATTGAAGTACATTTTATTGAATATGGTTTATACAGACGGAAATGCGTCCTCAATTAATGGTGGTACGTCTAATGTGAATTTTTCATTACTTTCTAAGAAACGTGGTAATTCAGATTTCACATAAAAATAACTTTAAATTATTTATGAAAATGTCTTATTTTTTATGTATAAAAAATACTGCGACAAATTTTCCCAAATTACGTTCACGTTTTCGATTCGTTCTCTAAATAAACACTTCACCAGTTATCAAGAGACACATTCTCGATACACATTGAAAACTGAAACCGAAAAAGGTTTGTTTTTATAACTCAAACATCCGACACGTTACATAAATTACTTAACCACTACAAACATTATTTACATTTGATTATCTTGAAAATTATTTCATTATATATATCCATTTGTTTAATCATCAGATGTTAAGATCATTCTGGCTCAAAATATAATGTTACATAGTAAAAGATGTTCAAATATGTTCATGAAGCTAACTACAGAATAATTGTAGGATCACTACGGATAACGAGCAAACTTATTATTTTGATTTAACGCAAATCACAATACGAAACCAACACAGCAATGTACAAAGCGTTAAATAAGTTTTTTTTTTATCATTACATCTTCCTTTTATTAATTTAACACTTATCCAATGAATTTGCAATGCTTTAGACGAATCACCACACTCCTATTGTTAATCGTAGTAGAATTTACTAAGAAATATAGATGAGATAACGGAAGTTAAAGGTTATATCGTTCAAAGTGATTAGGGATAAAATTATATTGACTTTTGAGCAACAAACAATTGAGCAAAAAACCTATTCTTACAACGGATTTGATAAATAATACTAGTAGACATTGACAGATTCTATGGGCCGTTTTCACGCTTCATAATATAACGATCCGCCAGCATAATGATTCGTCTAAAGCCACGTGTTGAATAAATACCTATCCTCCGAGGATCGGAGTCGTCCTATAAAACTTATTTTAACATACAGACACTGTGAAGTTAAGAGTTATATCAGAACAAGTGGGAAAACGTACTCGTAATAGCAATTTTAATTTGATTATAAATAATATGTCATTTCGGTAGAGTTGAAGAAAGTCTTCATTCCGGCAAACTATAAAGCCGTATTTAAAATGACATTCGAACATTTTCTCGCTTGATCTAAGCTAACTCGTAGATGATACAAAATTATGCTATACATAAGTCGAGTCGTACTAACTCAAAACAACTTCCTTTCCTGATACCGAATCTATAAAAAAGCCCCACTTATCCATAAAGTTAAATTACACAAAACATTGTTTTTCTTACGCAATCTCTATACAAGTTTTCTTTTTGAAATATTCAGAGCAAAATTTTACAATATCTCGTCAGTTTTTCAAATAATTAGTCTTCAGTGATCTTCGAGTTTACATAACACTATGGAATTGTCTTTGGTACTACACGTGTGGGTGGAAGTTGTAACAGCCATAGCGAGAACGTTGTAAATGTTCAATAAAATTACCCGTTTATTTTAAATTATTTCGGACCATTACACTCTTATGCTGTTCACCATAAGTATGAATGAAAAAACAATAAACTTCATAGTAACGCTGCTGGAAAAGGTTTTGGAAAGGTGTTATTTATTCATAATAAAATCACTCTAATTTCACTTTATCAATAGTATAACTAGATTTAGTGCTTTCGACAATATCGACATTTTATCGATACGATTTTATATTATTGTGACATTTACATCAACTTATATTGTCATTAGCTAAAGACACCACCGCCAATGAAATTCTACTTTAAATAAAATAAGTTATAATTGTGTTACATTCCAAACATTGCAATTCTACTTTAAATAAAATAAGTTATAATTGTGTTACATTTCAAACATTGCAGGATTCTCCTAACTCATAACTTTGAATAAAATAAAATTAATATAAGATTCTACGCGTGTTGCACATCTTTAAAAAAATATATATTTGATCAATTTTACATCACAATGCTATACTGGAAAATATTCTTAATAAAAAATGCTTAAAAATCCACTTTGTCCTTGGTACTTTGAGATGGGATTCGTACCCACGACCTTTCGTGATCAGGGATTTTTTAAGAATTTTTCATTAATTACCTTTATTATCATTCTACTCAATTACCTTTATTATCATCTTCATTAGCCTTTAATCAAAATAAATATCTACTTGAGTTCTACAGCTTTTTCTTTAAAATATAAATTCCTTCTTAATCAAACAGTGGTATCTCTTAGCTATAAGAATTATCGATTCAGCACTACTATCCCGTGTCCATAGAAATCAAATTAAAATGTTTTGTGTACTGAAACAATGTACGTACTGTTTTCCCAGTAAATATACAAAGTAATAAAGGTTTGTTTTATATAGTCGCTGGGTGTAATAGTACGTGGTGTATGAGATTCGTCAAGTGTCCGGTATGTTTGTTGAGAGCGCACGCGATGCGGCTTCGGTTACGTTCGATGCACGCACTTTGTGTACCTGGTATACGAACAAAATGTATATATTTTTTTTTATATATAAACAAAATTTCATTCATTCATCCATCCAGTTTTATTGTAAATAAAGACGTAAGAAGTTGACTACTCTTCTGTAGATTATTGGTGGTTGATTCAGTAATAATACTTTATATGGCTAGGCACTGCGAGTTATCGACAATGGAATAAATGAAACATTGCGCGAAAAGGATAAAAAGTTGCCCGACTTAGGACTAGTGTCACCACTTTTTTAATACTCCCGTGTCCCGTGACTGCAAACAACGCGTGACGTCACAGTCCTCTAAGGAAGATGTCATAAATTTGACTTTGACATTGACATACATAAAACTGTGCATAGAAAGATGTTTGTTGTTGTTGTTATTGTTTATGTTAGTTTCAGAGGGCTGTGACGTCACAATAACGCCATGACAGAGGTTAGCGTTTTAGCGAGAAATTTTGATCATCAATTTTATTTTTATATATTTTTTAAAACAAATTTTAAATATACCTAAAAATCTTAACGAAAAATGCTTAATCGCTAAGATGTCGAATTATATGGCTGTAATTATAGCTAGAGGCGTTAGGCGGTCGCTCTGTAGCAAGTGCGTATGATATCGTAGTATCACCAAAGCCAGTTAAGACGATGGATGACTCTATGACTGCTAGGCGACCAGAATTATTAGCTGTGTGTCGTACGAATTAAATCAAATCTTATTTATTCCAGTACTTGTAAAAGCAGACATAATAACCACTAAGAATTAAACAGCATATCCATAATAACAAGAAATAGTTTTATCATTTCGTATTACGAGTCGTATACTAAATCATTCAATGATATAAAGTATATACCCCCTTCCATTTCAAGTGGCACAAAATGTAAACATATATGGTAGTTTTAGTGATGGGACATATTATTAAGAATTTGATTAATTAAACAATCTGACTGACTTTTTTCATAAAATTTGGCTTAAATAAATATTACTATTCATGAAGAAATGAATGAAAAGTAATATAATATATAATGAAATGCGTGTTATAAAAATGATAAAATCCAATAATAAAAATATACGTATATCACTGAAGATGGCAATTTGTATTAGTTTACTTAATTAATTTAGTATAGTTATTACTCCAAAGACATTTTGACATTTTTTTTTTATCAATTATTCCAATCCGACTGAGTTGCCCTTTCAATAACTCATTTATATGTTCTCATCACTAGTTCGTTTTTTTTTTCGAACTGTTACTGATACGTCTGAATTGTTTTCCGGGAAAACGGACTACTCCTTATTTATTAAAAGTTTCTTTTAAAGTAGTGTTAAAAGCAGGGTTCCCTGATAAATATCAAGGGATATATATCTTGATATATATCGATTGCTATATATTAATTGATATTTATAATATTTATTATAAGTTTGAGTATTAAGTATTCAGTCTCAGCTACAAAATAACCAACCCGATTTGACGGCTCGCATGATACATTATAATTATTTCATAATAAATAAACAAATATTAAATAACTCAAACTCAATTTTTATTTTAAACTTTTGATTTAAAAGATCGAATATTAAATAAAGCCACTGGCAGCCCAAAAATCGTAGCTTTTCATATGCATGATATATCACTACATATATAAAATTCTCGTGTCACAATTTTCGTTCCCGTACTCCTCCGAAACGGTTTGACCGATTCTCATGAAATTTTGTGATAATATTGAGTAGGTCTGAGAATCGGCCAACATCTATTTTTCACATCCCTTAGTGATAAAGGTTGCGGGAAACCGACTTCCACGCGAAAGAAGTCGCGGGCGGCCACTAGTATCCGATATGTATCGGATAAATATCAAATAACGGATATTTTGATATTTATTATAAATATCGGATTTTTGCGAACCCTTATTAAAAGTGATAATTGAAATTAACAAATCAGTTTCATAAACAGATCCGGTGAGTTGTTTGTTTACATCATTCGCCACTTGAAATGGAACAAGTTATACACATACGTACGTATGTCCCGTGCGGTTTCAGTCGAGGTTGTCCTGGAATATGAGTCGCACATATCCCGGCGATCCCTCCAGCGGCGCAGCGCAGAACGGACAGATCGCGTGGAAACCATTCGTGCCGTGAGGGATGTCCACACCGGCCCAGTATCTAATCACAATATTTCACATTACTGGTATAATTAGTGGAGATATTATAGATGAAGATAACGGTTACCTATCTCTCTCTCTACTCGCGCATGTGTAGTTAGCGCGAAAAAGCATAGCAATGAAGGCTATGAGAAGTCCTGTCAAAATTTGTTTACTACTAAATTAAACTGCAATCATAAATATAAAATAAATAGAAAAAACTTTTTTTTTTAAATATTGAATATGCAAAATAAATCAAACCTCTGATTTAGCTGATCTTTCATCGTGTTTAATTATGCACCTCTTTTTATTAGTTCCGTTTTTAAATACCGACATTCATTAACCCGTAATTCATAAGTGCTTTAATGAATCTCAGGTACCATTCAGGAAGCGCAAATCGTTTATTTGGAAATAAGCGCGCGTAGTTCACCAAAAAACTATTATATTTGAGATTTTGAAACCTCACGCTACATAGCGCCTTTAATCCAAACACGTTAGCTTTAACTTAAAAATCTACTAATGCATGTAAATCAGCCATATTAGCATGTTAAATCTCGCCAAAATAATGAGGGACAAAGAGGCTAGGCTGAAATTCTTTTTACACAAACGATACCGAGATAAAAATACTGAACTTTTTATATATAAAATATGATAACTAAATCTGTGATTTTAGTATGTAGGCATTGGCCATTAACGAACTAGTTGTAACAAGCAAATAATCAATAAATAAGATAATTAGTACAGAATTTAATGTATAGAACAATAAGATAACAATAACGCCATAACAAGAAATAAAAAATTGAAATCAGATAGAATATAGATAACACGATGTATGCAAGAACATATAAACAAAAAAATAAGATAAAGGCCTGCAAACTAGCGCGGAAACCCAATATTATAATTAAAAAAAGAAAACAACCATATTAGTAATTAATATCCATGTCATATTAATGATAATGATATGCATATTTTCTACAAGAAATTACACAACTAGTACAGTTAATATCTAAACATTAGTACTTACTTGACAGTCCTCTCGGAGGCCATGTGACCGCAGGGGTTGAATGCATAGGTGGGTGGTCCACTATCCACGTAGAAGGCTGGTTCGATGCCCATACAGACCCTCACCACGGGTCCCGCTGACAGGCACATGGGACAACGGCGAGTTCCCGCTTCGCTGCCCTCAGCTCCCCACGAGTGCTCGCCTAAAGAGTAAAACCCATGATAAATGGCATGACAGAGTAACAAAGTGCTATTCACTAAGATGCACACCAACAATTTTTGCCCTAAGATATAGAGGGGTGTAGAGGTTTTGATACGAAATCATCATAGTTATAAGAGATTTTATTTTAAACCACAAAAAGGTAACCCAAGGACTGCGCAAGTCCTTAGAACGGATAGAGTGGTGTGTCTTCGTGGTTGGCACAAACTATATCGGCCTGCCAATTTTGCACTACAATATACGAATTAATGTGCGGCTGCCGTTGGCGCCACATTTGATTAACGTGAAATGTACGACATATCACGATATAGGATGTACTTTTTCATTACCTATTCATTCTGAGACCGATCCTTGCGAAAGAACTCCTAGATCTGACAGGCGCGGATCTATGATTTTTTTAAAGATATTTGTAAAGCTGGATCTTTTTGTAACTGTAAAAAGTCATTATATAATAGTGGATTTGGCGCCACTGAACTAGCCTAGTATCTCAGACCTAACGCGCTAATCACTGTTTGTAATAACATGTAATATAAAAGTAACGAGACAACCAAAATACATCAAAATCAGGACCATGTATCAACTGGTGTTGGCGAAACACAGAGAAATGCCGCACGCTGCTATTCTGACATTCTATTATCTTGTATAACCTTCATCATCATCAGCCCTTTTACGTCCCCACTGCAGGGGCTCAGGCTCCTTATGGATGGTTAAGGAGGATGGGCCTTGACCCTCCACGCTGGCCCAATGCGGATTGGAGGGTATTAACGACTGCAAATGCAGCCGGGACCAACGGCTTAACGTGCCTTCCGAGGCACGGAGTAGCTCGAGATAATTTGTTTTTTGATCACCCATCCCGTGACCGACCCTTGCGAAAGATGCTTAACGACAACGATCGCGGGCCGCGGCGCTTATCCACTACGCCACCGAGCTACTTCTGTATAAGCTTACACTGATATTATGGTAGTGAATTTGGTGTGCGGAACAAATAATGGCGTCTGGTATGAGTGTGGTTGATATGGTTACCTTGCACGTGTCCACAATGCAGATACACGTAGGGCTGATTAAGGTCCTGATGTGCGGCGGACAGTTTGCGCGGTATCACGAGCGTATTCAGTCCCACGGGACACTGCGGCCGACCCGCATTCAACTCGTCCACCAACGCTTCCAAGTCGCGTTTTGTCTGTTCACATATAAACCACGAGACTTGTTACAATATTACCACATAACTTTAAGATTGTTTATTGGTGAGGTGAGATTGTTTATTTCTACGATTTTGAAGTTCAGAGGAGACTGCATAATTTTTTGATTTAAAGCAAAAGAGTTTGTAAATAGACAATATGAAAATTGAATAATTACAAAAATATTATGTAAATGAATGTTAACCTATATAATAAAAAGGATAATACTGCGCTATAATTTATAGCATAAAGATTCGACTTTCATAAGTGCTTGTTACAACTTATTGTTAGACTGGATCAATGCTTTGATAATACTTATAAAGGGTTTTGAACAAACATCTAGCATGGTTAATAAACAAATACATAGCGTATTTATTTCATTAACATCTTTATAAAACTACTTTTCTCGAAATTTTGTAAAATGAAACCGAAATAAAATGGTACTTTACATAAAAAAGACAATATTTACCGGGGAATTTTTGAGTCCTTCTGCACTTCTCCAGAGCAGTGTAGCTCCGCAGAGGTCTATCATGGTACCGTCTCGTAACACGTTGGTCTCCGACTGACACGGCATACCCTGAGAATAGTAGAAAATATTGTTTAATAAAAAACTGACAATATTCTCCAATAAATTTTAAATCTTAACACTCTAAAAGTTAAGAACAAATAATGTTTCGTAGTTAATATGAAGTGTAGCTGCATGTTGAATTTAATCATATAAAGCTAGGTAGTAGAAGTCGTCATTGTTGAGAGAAAAAGCAGCCCTTGATAAGCTTCTTACGGGTTCTTAGTACAAGTACTCCCGCGGTAGATTTGCGAACCGATGACATAGTTTCGACTTTCACAAGTGCTTATAACAGCCTAAGTCTAAATAAATGAAATGATTTTGATTTGATTTGCCCTCACATGCGACGCCTACTGGTCGCTAGTTTAGGATGTCATAGATCATTGTCTAATAGACATTTTAAAATACTCGCTCACTCACTATATAAATGCAAAAATATGACGATTGTTCTTCGATTCAGTCGCAATATCTACACATATTATTACTTACACGGGTAACTGAAAACACTAGATTTCACTCTGAATAACAACAGTCCGACCTCGCTTGCTCTTCTTTACTCAATGTAGAGTTTATTAAATCTGTGACAGACGGAGTTGCTCATTTTCTTACTCTAATAGCTGATTTAATATTCTGCTTATCACTTAAAATCATATTTAAACTACAAGGATGATCAAAGAAGAATTATCAACGAAATTTTGTTTTCGGAGAAATAAAATATACTTACTTAGGTGTTATGTTAATTCATAGGAGTAGTACCTTCTGTTGTGCGGAGCGGCTCTCTCTAAGCGAGAAGACGGCGCCACCGACTGAGGTCTCACGCCACGGACCGCAAGTGGCGCTGCCACCGCAAAAGTCGCCGCGCGGGTGCATGATCAGAACACCGTTCGTCGTCAGACCGTCGATCTCGTGGTTCTCTGTCCATTTTGTTGCCTTCTCCTGGAATAACGAATGATTGAATTCATAATTATCTTGAATGAATATATTCGTAATTCATTTAAAACCAGACATGAGCGCTAAACACGAACTTACATTTACGAAATAGAAGTTAAATTAAAAGTTACCAAGAAAATAGTTTCAAAGGTGAACTGCATTGTACTCACACCAAGGAATATGTTCCTGGAGGAGTCAAAGCCGGCCGCGTATATGCGGCAGTTGTTGACATCGTTCCGGTCGGCGATGATGCGGCACGCGAACCGCGATATAGTGCTCTGTAGAACCTTAGTGTCGCCGGTCTTGTCACCGGCGACCGTGTCCATCACCACGAAGTCGATCGGCGACTCTGACGACCTACCGATCTGCGGAAACAAAAACATCAACGTCAGATACTTAATTAAGAAATTTTGACCATAAAACCAATACGAAAGTAAATTTGAATCACAAAATAATTTACAATTTCGACCGACGCCGGAGGTTTGTCAATTTCAGTACAAAATAAAAACCAAAATCAATAAAATATCGATTTTGAATGTTTTGCTTATAATCACATGACTAACGTTATTAGCATATAAGTATTATTGATTGTTTGTTAAAAATACATTGATTTTATGGAGTTGCGTTGCACTGAGTGACAAACAGTTTTATTGGCACGAAAATTATTGAGTGCCAATTTTACGCGTATCAAACACAGGTAGGACAGAAAAGGGAACTAAAATTTCCAAAAATACTTTGGGCTCTTTTCCAATTATTATCCATTCAATAATTATTCATATAACATTGCTATTTTATTTTAGTAGTCATTTCTATCCTCCGTTATCTCGCTTGGCTTATTGGCTTGCAAATAATGTAAAAACAATAGTTTTCCTATCCGATCAAATGAAAGATAGAATTAGTAGTAATTAAGTTGCACAAACTAGACTTAATTTAGATTTAGTCTTTAAAACTGATATAACCTACGATCAACATATCGAATGATATAACAGAAGTAGACTTACTATGTTATAAAGTAGCATAATTATTTTTTTTTAACTACATATGACTATGCAACGATGTGGAAACAAACTCAAAATTAGTTTTTTTTTTTATTTTAGAAAGTAGTACAACAAAATTGATGATATTATGTTTAAAGTCATTAATAGTAAATGAATTTGGTTGGAGGCAAAGTAATCTTCATAAAAGATGGATAAAAACCACATCATTATATTACGTGATCGTATACATAAAAACTAATACAAAAACTTCAACATAATAACATCTCTGACAATGTTATCAACGTCAGGTTGGTTTCCGTGAGGTTTATTGTATTAGAAACCCTGAAATACCGTCCATCCATTCGATAAATTATATAATTCTGGAACTATAGGTATAAATAAATACACATTGTTCATATTCCAGGATCAGTAGCTAAAGCCCCTGTATTATGGAGTATCTCAGACAACGAAGGTACCACAACACCCAAACCAGAGTCCATAGGGATAATTTATATACTGACCCGATCGGGAAATGAACCCGGGACCTCTGAGATGGCAACACCTTGAAACTGGCGTGCGAGTCATTTGTCTACGGATGTCGTCAACAATAAATATAGGCTAATCAATAACACTTATTGACGTCAAAACTTACCTGTGGAGTAGGTACAACTACAGATAGGTACAACATCTTGAAATCTCTTACGTCACTCAGCAACGGTAATATTCAGCTATTATTATGACTTTTTATATGATTTAAGCAGATGAGTATGTATGGTATTGATATAGTATGTCACTTGCGTAGCGTATTAAATGCAAACAAACTCGAGCTGACCCTTAACTCATTCTGTAATGTTCCCCAACATGCTGACGACTTATACTAATATATTTCTGGTAGCAACATCGAAAACTCAACGACTCGTCTCAACACAGCTATGTCCTATTTACACAACTGGCTAACTGATCATGGCCTCTCATTAAATCCCTACCATCCAAGTTATATATGTTCATCAACCGATCACTATTAAAAACCAAATTAATTTCCTAGGAGTCGTCCTTGACTTCAAAATGACAGGATACAACCACATTGCTCATATTGCTAAGGAATGTGAATAAAATATAAATATTATCAGATCCTTGTCTGGTGTGTGTCTGGTGGGGAGCTCACCCTTTTTGCCAGAAACTTCTTTACAAAGCCCTGATTCGAAGTCACTTAGACTATGCTTCTTTTCTACTCGAACCATGCCTTTAAAAGTACTTGATAAGATTCAGCACAAGTGCCTCCGTATAATTACGGGAGCCAAAAAATTCTCACCTACTAATGCAATACTGGTAGAACGTTCGGAACCCCCTTTGGATGTTAGAAGACAATATTTAGCAGACAGATTTTTTTCCATATTATACAAAAGACATCGTCTTATAGCCAAACTACATTTACTTTCTGAATTCATATCTGATAATAAATTTTAGGGACACAAAACCATAACCTCAATTTCGCATTCACGATGCCATACTGAAAAATATTATTAATACAAAAGATGAAGCATTTTTAAAGATTCCACTAAATATAAAACTAGATTAATAAACATTGGCCACACTGGCTTTTGATGTATACTGACTCATCAAAACACTGTGATGAAGATGATATTGGTTCGGCTGTTTGGATCCCCAAATACAAAATGTCTGATTCAACGATTTTCACTGGGAAAGCAATAGCTATACACGAGGCCCTCTCACATTACGTATATAGAATTTCATAAACTAGACAAAACCAGAATTTTTTCTGACTCCAGAAGTTGCCTCCAGGCAATCTTATCCAACACCTTCCGTAAAAAAACTAATCATCCTTGCATCCTAAAAGTAAGAAAAAATATCCTTTATAAATGTCATAATACAAAAGTAAGAGTACTGTTAGCCTGGATCCCAGGACATACTGGAATAGTTGGTAACGAGACAGTTGATCTGATTACGAAGGAAGCCGCTAAGAATGGAAACCTCGCCTGCTGAAGTATTCTCACATGATCTAATCCCTTTCACAACAAAAGTAGTCTCTCGCCAATAAGGAAACGCCAATAATGAAAAAAATAGTATTTGATTTGTTAATTATCAATTTAAATTAGCTTGTTGCTAATAATAGTCATGTTTTGATAATTTTTCTTATTTATCCAATAATTATTATATAATTATAATTTTTATCCAAGTCCGTTAAAAGTTGATTTAATCAATATTTTCGTTGACACATCGTCGTTTTTTTGTATTCCTGTGCCCCACCTTACCCTATGTACATCCTAAGTTAATTAAAAATTCTCAATTTGTAAGCACCAGTTCAGTAAAAAAATGTAACAAGTTAATGATGACAACAATAATGGTGATTGCTTACGAACCCAATTATTTAATTAAACTATTTATTCATTAATTAAACGCATTTGGTGCACAACTAATTAGTGTTTAGTCAATTCGTTGCATCATAATTTGCATTAGCTTCTAATGTAATCAAAATATAATGAGTACATAAAAATTGACTTTGGCTTTCATTATGACGATCTTATTTATAAAATCCTGCTGTTGTCTACTTAGAATATCTTGGATTGCGTATCGATATGAAATTCTGGAAAAATAATTGTGGTGAGAAGCACCGAAGCCAAAATGAAAACCAGATGAAATACTGATGCTGAACATGATAACCTACTAGGAGAAATAATATCCTGTAAAAATCTGAAAATAAATATCAAACTACTGAAAGATAATATCTATTTACAAAATATAAAATATTAACACATATGCGTACATTTTGACGCTGTTTAACGGTTCAAGAGGTGTACAAAATGAAACTTCTGATTATATTTTACCAAATTTAAACTCATTAGAAATAGATGACTTAGCAGAAATAGGTATAGAATGAGAAGATCACGCCATGATACATAATGTCCTATAGGTACTGCTTATAAGGAAAGCATTAGCGGATAGCGACAGCCAAAACAAAAGCTGGTCAAGCCATTTAGGGGCTAGAAAAACATTCTCGTTGCTACAAGTATAAATAACATGACACCTGAAGGCCTATCCAAACGAAATGAAAATACGCCTGTTTCCGAAATTCTAATACGACTTCGAAGAAACGCAATGTTCGAAATTAAAATCACGGATATGATTTTCGCAAAATTATAAGAACGATTCGAAATTTTCCGAATTTTCGTTCGGGGCCAAATAGAATAGGCCATCGGGCCAACTAACACAATCCAACTTAACTAAACTGCTATACTAATTTCTAAACTGCACCGGGCATCAGACGGGCGAGCTCGGCGAGTGTGAAGGCTGTGTTACGTCACGTCTCTGTCACGGTATGCGCCCGCGCCGCTCTAATTGCCAATGCCAGAGGGAGACGGAATTCTGAAGTGGGTATTCGACACATGAAGAATACAAAACGGATTCGGGAATCGCTTTGTATAACTATGTTTCCTTACAAAACTATTACAACTGGTTGCGGGTGCATTTATACATGGAATAGAAATGGTTTGTAACTTTACAATTAGTTTTAGAAGCACTTTCTGAATTTGCTATTGGCGAAGTAGTGCTAACATGGACAGCCTTTTCTCCTTTATTTGTGAATACAATGATAACACTAATTTGTTTACTGAATAATACAATACAGTTATGTAAGTAAGAATGTCAATTTACAAATGCAGTTACGATAGCTCGGACAAACTTCTGATCCTTGCTGACCATACGTCTAAATACGTGACCGATTATAAAACCAATCGATCACGTTCCACAAATATTTCTTTAACTCGGACAATCTATCCGTAGTAATTAATATCATAGAGAACGTTTCAACTTACATAAGTGACAAAGTTTTCGTTACCGAACCAATTAACATCGAGAAACCTTGCTGGAGAAACACGATACGATTCGTTCTGAAGTTGTAATTTCAGAAAGTATTAGGGTTATGTAAGTGATGCTAGAATAAATTATTTGTTTAGTTGATTATAAAAGCATTTTTTTAGTAATACCCTGATTATGTTAGTAATGTCGACTTATTCAGAGTAGTACTAAATTTAACTGAAGTATAACTTAGATGCACAATATTATCACTTTAATTTCAGCTAATCAATTAGTACAGTATAGTTAAACAACTACTAATGTTATTTATTAATTAGAACTATTTATCCCAAAGCTACCACCGGACACCGTGTTAAGTCCATGTTATTGTTTCTGTCAAAGTCGTCACATCCAAATTTCTTTTTAAAAATACATATATAAAATTGCAATAACTTTTATTCGCTAATATCTTTGCCTTGCTAACAACTATGTTGATAATATTAATTAAAATGTGATTAGTTGAATGACATAAAAAACAAGGGTAGAGCGACGAGGACCGACCAGATTTGAACTTT